CCTCCGCGCCGCGGGGCGCGCCCGCCGGGGAGGCGGGAGGAGGGAGACGTGCGTCCCGGGCCCAGCCGCCGTCCCGGTCCGCGCCCCGAGGCCGAGGGGCCGGCCCGGCGCTTCCCCGGGGCCCAGCCGGCGCGTGCAGGGAGATCCTCCGAGCTGCGCCCGCGGCCTCCCAGCCAGACTCGCTGCACTCCGTCCAGCGCGAAGTAACTTGGCTCGTCTGCCTCGGGCTTAGTTGCATCCCGAACCCGCGGGGCCCCGGGGAGACCCGCGCTCGAGATGCACACCCCACCTCCCGAGTCGGGGAGCTCTCGGGGACGGCTTGCAGCCTCTCGCACACCTCTCCGTGCAAGAATCGGGGACTCGGAGATGCGAGGGGACCGGACTGCGTGTGCGTGGGAGAATGGGGCGCCCCAGAGGCAGGGGGCCTGGGGTCCCCAGGGCGCCTCCACCCGCATCAGGCCCCCTGCGGAAGCGGAGCTGAGGCTCTGGGTGCAGGAAAGGAGGGTGGTGGTCCCAGTGACAAGGTCGGTGGGACTGCTGGGTGTCTCTTTTGGAGCCTGGTTCTCGGTTTACAGGGACCCCTCGGCGGCGTGGAGACAGCCCTAGAATGTTCGGGAAAGGGGTGTGCTTCCGTATAGGTCGAGGGTCCAGGTGCCTCCTAGAACCCCTGAGGGGGGGATCTGGAAGATAGAGCCAGGGCTCTCCTTAAGCACCCTCAGCTAAGGGGTGCCGAGCCTGAGCACAAAAGCTGTTAGGAGATCCGTGCCCTCATTGGCCACGTCCCCGGAATGAGAGGGGGGCTAAACCAACACTCCCCTTCCTTGGAGAGAGTTAGGCTTGGCGGTGGGTCCTGCCCCATCTCATGCCTCCTTGGGGCCTGGCAGCGCCTAGTCCCAGACTGGCTTCTTGGGCTGTCACGGTGTGCACATCCTTAGGGTGTCCGACGGGGAGGCTTGGGTCAGTGATGCTGTGTTCTCAGCGTGTCCTTACGTGAGAGTCGCTGCCGGAACTGGACAGAGGTGCGTGGAGAAGGATGTGGATCCAGTCCTCAAGCCTTCCTGGAAGAGGAGGCTGCATGACCAGCCAGTGGGTTAAGGGCCATGCTGTTTGGGACAGCCGTCTCCGGTAGACCGGGTTTCAGAGTCCTTGGTAGTTCTTGTGGGGTTCAACATCACCCTGCCTAACGTTTATTCCAGTTCCTGAGTTTCCAATCACAGACCACACTGTTGATTCCTGTGCTTGTCAGCCACTATCCCACCATTTTTATTTTATTTTATCCCCCCCCCCCCCCCCAGAGACAGAGGGAAATGAGAAATCACACCCCTGGGGGAGATGGCTACACCTCAGTCCCTTCTCCTCCCAGGACTCTGGGCCCGTCTGCACAGACCCAGCCTGATTCTCAAGCTTCTGGTTCTGGGACTCAAACTGCACTTGTCCATGTGGGAGTCCAGTGCCTTAACCACCATGCCACCTGCTAGCTCCACCAAGTCTTCCCCCCTCTTTTTAGATTTTTTTTTTTTTTTTTTTTTTTTTTGGTTAGAGGGCATGTGTGCTTGCCCGAGAGAAAGAGACAGGGAAAGTGAGAAATCACAACCCCCTTACCCCCAGGAGAACAGCCACACCATAATCCCTTCTCCTCCATTCTCTTGGGATTTGGGGCATACACGCACATGCATCCAGTGTGATTTACAAGGTGCTGGGTCCAGGACTTGAACCATGATTGGCCATGTGGGAATTCAGAACCTTAACCACTATACCATCTGCTGGCCCCATTTAAGTCCCCTTTAAAATAACAAAGCCCACCAAATGCCTTCTCTAGGTCCTTCAGACTTGGGGTCCAGTGTAGGCTTTGGCTTGAGCACAGAACACAGCGTGGGCTGAAGCTATTGGAGGATATATCCCAGAGTCCGATGTGTGTGTGGGGCATCCCAGACTGACCTTAGCACCAAGCATATGGGAGAGCTGTCAGAAATACAGAGGCTGGGTGGGTACGGGGCTGCAGAGGACAGGCAGGTGAGTGGCTGGGACACTGCGTGTCACCTGCAGGGCTGGTGTGCCCTGGAGCTCTTGAGTGGCCGGAGGAGAGGTGCCAGGCCCCCGTTACCTGAATTTGGATGGACCACAGGTCAGGGTCCCTCCAGCTGGCGAATAACCTGGTAGGGTTAAGAGTCGAGAGTAAAGGCGTTACAGAGAGCATGGAGAAAAGCCATGTGACCCGGGTAGATTTGGCAAGTATAAAAAAAGACGGCCTGTCCTTAAACTTGGCACCCGGGGTAAATGGCTGGGAGGGGTGTGGAGCTGGGCGGTAATTCTGATCATGGCTTTACTGCCAGCAGACCTGTGGGACAGATATTTCAGGACCCATGGGGACCCATGCTGTTGAGCTGCTGGTCACATCAGTGTCGCCTCTCGTTCCGACACCGAGCCCCTCTGCTCTGCGTATTAGATTGTCCCTGCTGCGTGTCAGACAGCGACTACACATTACTGAAATCTCTTTAAGGCAAATCCCCCCCCCCCCCACCCTGCCGTAACTTTTCCTTCATTTCTGCCTCTTGATTTCTTTTCTCTTGCTGCTTTTTTTTTCAAGTAATTTCCTTTCAATATTTTTTTTTCTTCCCCCTCATATTCTTCGTGTTAGACTTTGAGTGTTCTCTGCTGTTGATGGTAATGGTTTAGATACAGCCTTTGAAACAAGACTTCCAACATCTTTTTCTTTCTTTTCTCTAAAGGCTAGATTTACCGTGAGACCAATAAACCTTAAGCCAAAGGTTTCCCTCACATGCACAGCCCCTACCAAGACCTTTGGCCTAGTTTATATTCATAATTTGGTGTTAATTTTTTTAAGGGTAATTGTCATACATTTCTAAGATTGAGGTTCTGTGAAATCTTAACTTTCAGCTCTGGGGTTGGTTGATTGACTAATTGTTGGTCTCTTACCACTAGGCAGTCCTGAACCCTGGGTCTTTTAGCCCTGCCTGGGGGATGCGTGGGTTGTTTCCAATTATTCATGATTATAAACAGCAGCAGGAGTAAACATCCTTGTAATTCAGTCTTGCGGACATCCTTAATTATTTCCTTTAAATAAATCCCTGGGCTTAGGATTGCTGGTCAGAGAGGATGAAAGTTCTAAGGAATTGTCTGTGTATGACCAAAGTGCTGTGAAGCCGAACTGTGTGCTTTAGAGAAATACACTCATCTATTCAGGCAGGAGTTGTGGGGTGGTTTGGCAAATGGCTGCTTTGGGGGCAATGGAAGAGTCTAGAAACCTCCATGGGTTGGGGGCAGGGGATGTAAAGTGATCACAAGTGATCAAAATGGATGAGGGATGTAAGCAATAAAGACAGGAGAAGAAAAAGAATGGTTTAATTAAGCTTCGTGTCATGGGTCTTTCTGGAAGAAATTACTTTTTTTTTTTTTTAAGAGATTTTTGCTATAGGGTGCATTTATTCTCCAGAGAGACAGACAGAAAGGGAGAAATCACCCCCCTGGGGGATGGCCACACCACCATCCCTTCTCCATCCTCCTCTTGGGATTTTGGGCATGCGTGCACGTGTGCCCAGCGTGAGTTTGAAGCCACTGGGTCTGGGATTCGAACCATAGTTGGCCGTGTGGGAGACCAGCGACCTAACCATTACGCCATCTGCTGGTCCTGGGAGAAATTACTCTTACTTAATTCAGTATTTTGTAGCTGTGGACATTTGCTTTATTCTAGTTAACTCATTCCACCTGGAGTACAGGAGGAAGGATGTGTGTGGGGCCAGGGATCCGGGAGAATGTGCTGGAAGGGGCAGTGCGTGCTCGGCAGGTGGCGGAGCTGAGGGTTCCTGTGTTGAGAGCGCTCAGGTGCTGATCTCAGGTGTGTGTGCTCTGTTTCTGGAATGAGTACTTCAACTGTGATCCCTTAACTGAGCATTACTATAAATTCTTTGTAAACCAAAATTGTCATGGGGGGTTAGATTTCCCTATAAGGGGTGTAGGTTATCCTGCTTCTCTGATCCCTGGGGGCTGAGCCCAGCATCTGTAGCCATGTCACACTGAGAACAGAGCCTCCAGACCAGCTTCCCTCAGTGCTTACGTGAGTGGCCTCTCTGTCACCATGCTCTGGGTAGTGAGAATTGCCCCATGGCTAGACGGACCAGAATGTTCTAGGCAATACTACACATGACATCTGTATCATTTTGGATGCGAACATGCAAGTGACTCAATTTCCTTCTTTCCAGCGACACCCAGACAGTGCTAGCTTCCCCCTCTGTCCTGCACCCCACCCCACCCGAGTCTTCTGGCATCCTTCGAGTGACAGGAGTAGGTGCCAGGGAACATGGACAAAGCCGATTTCTGTCCCCTCCCATTAGGCACGAACCAGGTCCTCAGCTGCAGGGCCGACAACTGTAGCACCCTGTGATATAAATAAATCCGGCTGGCCGGTGTGCACCCCCGCTGGGTGTCTTCACACCCCTCCCTTCCCGTCCCCTCCCCGCTGCCGCCTCTGCCCCAGACGCCCTGGAGTCCGAAGTGCTTGGGTGCATGGCTTCCTTTCTGGCGACGTGCTTCCTGCCCCCCCTCTCCTGGGATGCAAGAGGCCGTCCTCAGGCCCCAGCAAGTGGTCGGAAATGGAAGACGTGCTTGGCTTTTTGCTTTGTTGAGGTTGTCAGAGCATCCTTCAGTGAGGAATAGGGGCGATTCGGAGCCAGGGAAGACATAACAGCCTCGGTTTGTATTACGGCTCCGGGGGAAATGGACAAGATAAACAAGCCAGCCAGTTCCAGCGAGCTGCGCCATGCAGTCACCACTAGCCGGAGTGACCGCTATTTAAACCAAAAGTCACTAACACCAAGTGTAAGGAGCTGTTCTGTTCCCCGGTGGCACTAGCCTCTTTCTGATGCTCTGTAACTGCAGAGGCTGGTGGCTTCTCTCAGAGAAGAAGGTCCCACTGGACAGCCTGGGTTTAAAGCAGTGTTTGGGTCTTAGAGAGCCAGGCAGGACCCCAAGGAGGCATAAGAAGACTCAACCATTGGCTTAGCTGGGTATTAAAGTGAAATGGGGGTGCTTATATCGAATGGAAAGCTAGGAACTGTTGAAGAGTTTGCGTGCTCTTCCCATTCATAACATACTGAGGTGCCTGCTTTTAAGGGCTGGAGACTCAGGGATGAAAAAATCCGCTCCCAGTCTGGCGGGTGAGAAGGTTGTGGGGTTCTGGTTTTATGTGTTAGGCAAAAATAGAGATATTGGAGGCTCTGATGGGAGGCCTGTCCTCCGGCACTCGTGGGCTTTACAGAGGGGCCGAGAGAGACTTCAGTGAAGCGGGGAGGTTTAGGCAGGGGTAGGCTGATACCGTGGGCCTTGCTGTGACAGCAGCCCCGCCTTCTCAGAACTCCATAGGGGACATCTTTGCTGAGTTCCCCATCCCATGCCAGGCTTCGAGGGGACAGTGTCGCCCCACTTCCTCATTTTCTGGAAATGACATTTTCAGATCTTCTTTCTGGCCCTCACCCTGCAGACAGCTCTTTTTCAAGCACTTGGGAAG